TTTTGAAAAATATCTAACTAAAATGCTCTAATATTGATCCTTGTCTAAACAAATATTTGAAATCCCATGAGGGGAAATTGTTGTTGTCATAGAATCGCTTGAACTTTTATTTACTTTTCACAGTGAGGCAAATGATTCTCTGATTTTTTGTTTTTTCCAGCAAAGTAAAAGCATGGCGGACATTCAAGTTAGATATCACAATTTTCACACTGGAGTCTCTTGAGTGTAAAATTCGTGTCCCCCACACTATTTCCAAGTGTGATACATCTTCTGATTTCAACTTGGAAAATTAGTGTTCAGAAACCAGACATTAAAGCAATTTCATTTTTGGTGCCAGGTGCCACCAGTGGTCACATACTGTTTTCCCACACCTTTCCTTAGCACCTTTCCAAGGGTCTTTCTTTGGCGCGTACCCTTTCGTTGTCCAAGGTGGTGTGGAGCAGTAAAGGCAGCATATGTTCTTTCAGTCAGTACTAGAGGCTGCTTTCATTGATTTATTTTTAACTTCCAGTTCTTTCTTCCCTTAAGTAATTGTTCTTGGAAGAAGCTATTACCTAACTCTAAACTATGCACATTTAACCTCTCAGCCACCATAATGAGTATATTCATTTAAAACAATCAGTAGCTGCATGGTAGCATACTTTGCACATGTGTCCTGTTGAACCTGTACCTGTATTTCTGGCTTTTCAGAGATGCATGCTGTGACTTTCAGATAGTTTCCCTGCTTGTTAATTTGGAAAGATGTAGATTTTTTTTTCAGTTGTATTTCACAGTGGTCAGTTTTAATGAAATAACTATCTGCTTAAATACAGAACTAGATTTGAATTCTGGGTCCACACTTTACAAGTTTTGCGATCTTACAATTTACCTGACCTCCTTATGTCCCCTTTCTAAAACAGGATAAACAGTCTCATTATGCTAGACTGTATCCCTGAAATCAAAGATTTTTCCTGTTTACGTCTATCTCCCAGCACCTAGAACAGTATATGCCATGTTAGGCCTGATACACATTTGTTAAAATTCATCAAGATAATACATGTAATCCATTTAATTCAGTGCCTGGAGCAGAGTGACAATAAAATGTGGTGAGGCATTTTTCAGAGCATTATTAAAGCTCTTAAGTTTTATCAGTTATGCTTAAAAGATGACAATTTTTTTAAAAATGTCTTTTGCAGAAGAAATGTTCATCTACCACTAAGCCAATCCATATTGGCCTCAGATAATACTTCTTAGAATGAAATAAAATTTGTTCTCTTTCCATTCAGTCTGGCAGCATAATTTCTGGGCTGACTCATGAGTATGAAACAAGAAATGGAAATTCATTAAGGTGTGTGTGTTTAAATCAAACTGAGATATAAGATAACTTGTCTCCTTATAATTTTCCCAACAAGAAATGTTCAAAGCTCTCTATTCTAAAGTTTGTTCTAATTCTAAGAGAAACAATATTTCTTTCATTCAGCTGTCCTAAATAATAGTTTAAAAAGAAGCATATAATTTTTCCATTTAATTTTCCATATGGATTTTTGTAGAGTTTTTATGAGTGCTGTACAGTTTTAAAGCAAAAGTTAATCTGTCCTAGCTAGTAGCAAAGGTAAGATGTGAAAGAGATTTCCATGCCTTTTGACCAGTTTTTTGTTACCTCCTTTGTTTAAAATACGAACACACATGGCTGAGGATTTAGCTCAGTGGTTCTGCCGCCTGCCTCGCAAGTGCAAGGTCCTGAGTTCAATCCCTGGTACCAAAAAAAAAAAGAAAGAAAGAAAAATATGAGCACACACAAAAAATCAACCTAAATCTGACTAGATAGATTCTTTAGTTCTGTTATTCTTTTCATTCGAGTCTTTGCAGAGATTACAATGCTAAATTTTTAGCTAAACTGTTGAAAAAATTCTGTACATAACTTGTTCTGATGAAATAAAAGTTAATTTAATTTTATCTTCTATAATAGCAACATATTAGCTGAATTTGTTGGTTCTCTTGAATATATTAGAGAACTTTTGAAAACTGGTCGTTTTATTTAGAATGAATGTGAGAATATTTTTGTTGTTTATGGGGTATATACATTGTAAAACTCATGGCTGTAAGTCAATTAGTGTAATGAAATGATTTTTTAAATTTGAATGACTGCCTTAGTATATTTTAATATAAAGAAAGGTCAGATAGCACTTCCAGCTGTTGGCAGGTTTCTCCTATTGTCAAACCTTTCCTTGTTTTTTATGTTATTGTCCATTTCTTAGCCAGTTTTACTCATGTTGGGAGGTTAAAATGGCGTGCTTGCTATTGCAAAATATATTCTCATTTTGCTCACAACCATAAATTCTTGAAAGATAAGTGGAATTATGCATCCTGCAGCCCTTAGTCTCAATACACAGTAATTTGCATGATTGTTTTAATGTCTAATCATATCACTGTACAACTCTCCTTTCTTATATAGCTGTTAAAAGAAGTCACAACATTCTTGAGGCAACAGTAATCAGACACAGCTGTCAGTTGAAAAAAGATTTTTAGGAAATAATTATATCTTCATTATGTTTGAAATGTTGAAAACATATCACTGCGTTTAAATGTATTGCAAATCTTTCTGAGCACATAAACTTTTAGGCCTCCAAGAGGGTCAGGACCAGTCAGTCTATGCCATGATGGGGCTGCACCTCTGCTCAGTATCAGTCAGAGGAAGAGCCTGTCCAGAGCAGAGGGGCATTTTAGGGAGCTCGTTACAGGGAGGCTAGAGCCTCTCTCTTACGCCTGTGTTCAGCAGTTAATTATGAATTTACTTTATTAATTGTAGTACAGACACAAACTTATCCATCTTCTCATATACTCTTTTGGAAATGTATCCATCAGTGAGGTGAGTAGCATACTTAACTTTACATTTGAATATATTTTCAGGATATTTGTAGTTTCCATATGGAAATAAAGCGTGTGTTAGATATAAAGATGTTCATTCTTTATAATATGGAGAATAAATGTTTACACTTAAAATGTCCGTGTTAACTGAGTATATAACATTATAATGACCTCCAACAGCTTACTAAAAGAGGCTTTTTTTATATATCAAAATTTTCTACAATTTAAGTGCAGTAGCATTCCCAATCATTCTTTTTCTCTGCTCTCTTCACTTGTGAGTTGTCACCAGTGAGTTCAGTTTGTGTTGCAGTTAAGGTGTTATGCTGGGGCTAATCTCTGTAAAATGCTAGCATTTGTTCTTCTTTTTCCCTATCATCAATCTTTCACACTCATATCAAACCCCTAATGTATCAGCAGGTTTCCCAGAGCTACTGGTTAAAATTACCTTTGCTTTTGGTAAACTCTGAACCTTCAAGCCTCACTGTTTTCAGTTGCCCCCTGTGGATTCCGTGAAGCCTCTCTCTGCACATTCCTCACTGCCAGTCACTTGCTTTATGTCCTGAAACCAGGAGCCTGTTCATTATTCCACCTGTGCCTGCCACCCTTCTTTAAATGGAGGGAGTGTGCAGATATTTGCAGTAATTGGTGTGCTATGCAGACTACAAGTGAAAGTGGCTAGAACTCTCAAACCTAAATAGCTTGTGTTTATTCAGTATAATATTTTAAACGTAGCTCCTTCTAAAAGTTTCCTTCCTTTTCTACCTCCACATAAATTGGCAGTTTTATTTGTCTTTAAGATAAATGCTAAATTAAATAATTTCTTAAAATTTGTCTCCGTTCATATCTGAATATGTAAATATTTATCTTGTTTGCATACCTTTTTCACTTGTCTTCATTTTCATAAATACTTCCCTTTCATCCATTTGACTAGGACTCTTAATAGTAAAAATGGATTTCTTTAGAAGTAGGATTTCTTGAATACATGGTTTCTGATGTTTTCACTTTTTAGCACAGTATAGTTTCCCACACAAATTATTCTCTAGGTTATAACTATTGTTTTGGAAAGATGACTTTTGCCTTTATGTATAGCACTTTACATACTGGTGTGACTCTATATTATCTCTATCTAAAGACTCTCGTTCCGGGTTATGAATTTAGTCTCATTAAAATTTATAGTAAATACCTTGGGAAATTCTTGAAAATTAATAAAGAGAATTCCATTTTCTGCATGGGAATCGGCTTATTTTTAGTAGCTATTTCCTGTGGAAATAAGATTCCTAAATATTGTTCTCACACTGATTTTGTTTGATAAAAAGCCTTATGCTAATTAACAATGGTGAAATAATAGCTATCTACATGTGGAATTGAAGATACTTAATTTAAGTCACTTAAATGCTTTCACCCATCAAAATATAATGCATATGCTTTTATTTTAAAGCAACTAATATATTTTCTAAAATGACAAGAGAAGAATTATTGTACTTAAAAAGGTCTCAGTAGTAGCAAAAACTGAGACTCTTTCATAAAGATGTCACTGTCCTCTTACATATATAATTATATAATCTTTGATACAAAAGTCTTATTTCTTTCTAACATGGGAGTAACTGACGCATCAAGTGTTAACAATTACATCATTTGGAATATCAGGAGCCAGGACCATGTTCTCAAGATGTTTTTGTAAAAGTTAATAATTCTGAAATATTTATATGCATTCTTCTGAATGCCATAATATACTATTTGGTTTAAGCTACATTATTATATTTTCAAGCTCAATTATTTGGATAATGCAACCCATATTTTTAAGAAAATTAAGCCAGTGAGAATCAATTAGGTTGCAAAATGATTTATTGTTAGAAATCTTTTTATTTTTCCCTTAGTTATATTTCCTAAATTCTCCCTGGATTGTTCAAAGGAGAATAAATTAGACTTTAAACCACCGTACCCTTTTTATTATAGTATAGATGATAATGTGCTCTGTAAGGAACAAAGAGAAAAGGGAAAATTAAAAACTTTGAAGTACTCTAAACATCAATTTTCTAAACCTAATGAATTTTTGGATGAAATTTTTAATCTAAAATTTTATATGTAATTTCTTGCCATGGCTGAATCTTCATTTTTTGTATACTCCTTGTTGTATTTGGTTTATTTTTCAGTGGGTACACCTTATTATATGTCTCCAGAGAGAATACATGAAAATGGATACAACTTCAAATCTGACATCTGGTCTCTTGGCTGTCTACTGTATGAGGTAGGTAATGTTGATAAAATCCCTATTTCGATACATTTGAATAATTTCTTCTATTCTTACAGTTTATACTTTTTCTGAATATTTAAGAATAAGCAAATTATGAAGATTAACTCATTGGGTAAATAACTTTCATATGGAATTTAATATGATCTCACATTTACTTATATAATATTTTTAAATTGTGTCTTGAGAATTTTTTTAAAATACTAATTTTTATGTTAATATAATGCTTTTCTGTGTATTTATAAAAATATACATTTGTGCATCTGTGCCTTACAGGATAAGAGGTATAATGAAATGGATTTAAAATATGAAAGTATAGTAAATGTTTATCAGTGTTTTATTTCACATTTACATAGGTGTAATTCATCCTTAAAAATGATATATGAATAGATTATTATTCTAGGTTACCACTTAGTTTAGTTTCCATTAACAATAATTTTTATTGGTGAAGCTCAAGCAACTATTCTTTCTCTCTCGTTCTTAAAAGATAATGGAATCATTTAAGTCGGTCTTCTAGAAATATTGTAGTACAATAATTTGGATCCATAGAAGAAAGCGTAGTGCTAACAAATTTTTACCAATGTAAAGCAGTGATATCAAAGAGTATCTCAAGTAACTTTTATAATTTTATTTTTTAATCAAATGGCAGGAAATAATATAGACTTTGAGCTAAAGTTAAATGAACAGTAATCTGCATCTAAGGTTTAAATAAAGTGAAGAAACATAGTTTATAGACTCATTTTCATGTCTCCATAAGGAAATCTAGAGTGGATGGGTAGAAACCAGTGTATTTCTTACTGTTTTGTGTCTGTCCTCCTGACTTAAACATATGATGAGGTCATCTGTTTTAATTGGCCACCATTACTTGGAAGTAAAACATCAGGAGGTGCTTTTTTTCTTTAACACTGTGTTATGATCTTTTATTGTTTTTCTGATTGTAGATTCCGGTTTAAGAAACCTGAAATTATTTTATTGTTCCTACTAAAATGAATAATGACTGCTTAGAAGATTTTTAAATGTTTTTACGTAAATTCATCCCAGTTTTTATTATGAAAAATAATGAATTAACAATGTAACGAAATATATTTCTATGTATCCACGAGATTATAACTGATTTATGCTCACTATATTACATTCTGGTAATATTTTGATATGTTTCAAACAACTGGCTTGATAATATTAAACTATTATACTACTTAAAAGTTACTTTGCGTATTTAAAATATTACTGTTTAGGTAAGCTGATTCTTTCAGGTCATAGTCTAATATTGTCAAAGCAACACTTTCCCTTTAAACATCTAAAAGTATACGTATAAACTAATAGCAAATTAGTTTCCAATAACGAGATTAAATTTAACAGTGACAAATACGTTCGGCTGAGGTGCTGTTTTGGGGGGAAAGTTTGTGTAATTGTTTCAGGGTTAGCAGACTCAACAAAACTGAAATAATTTTTCACATTCTAAATTTGCCTTTGAGAGGCAGTATCCCATTTTATGTGTGCTTAAAGTAATCCTCCAAATAGAAGTTATTTCTTCAGACACTCCTGCATAACTTAATGTGTTAATCATTTTGAGTGAAAATATCCATCAGGTTAATATTACTTCTCATCTCAGTGCATTTTCACATTTCCTCCATGTAAGACTAGAATTGTTCTAAAGATTTATCATGTTTATCTCCCTTCAGTTATATTTGAATATAATGTTAATAAAAAATTTAGCTTTTAAAAGTCAACAAAAACATCACAGAGTTCTTTTATACCTGTCCCACTAAGAAATTACTATTAACAGTGGAGGAATAGAAAGCCTTTTTTGAAAATGTATTTTAAACTCAGAAAATTAGACTTTCAAATATTCTTGGAACCTTAAAAAAACTAGCAGTACAGTTTTAATTGATATGCAACAAAGTAGACTTTACTAATTAAAATCAAGATGCTGTGCTTTTGCTACATGGACCTTTACATGGAAAAGTAGGTTTTACACATTTCCTTTATTGTTCAGCGCAGCAATTGCATCCTTACAGGGTTGTAGGTTGGTGGCTTACAGTTCAAAAAAAAAGAGAGCTGCCACCAGCCCCGAAGACAGACAGTGGGCTTTCGTCCCTTCGACACCCCCAGAATACTAATCAGGAAAGTCAGACCCTGGAGGTCAGGGAGCAAGTCAATCATTCTAGCGATCGTCTCAGTGTGGAGGATCAAATTAGCCTGAAAAATTCAGCTGCTGGGAGGAGAGGGCGAGCAGCTGTCAGGGGCAGCATCGAGATGCACTAATGAACCAGATGAATAGTGCAAAAGCTTGAAAATAAAAACAGGACAGTTGACATTTTTCATCTGTCAAAGCAGGAGATGCATGAAAATATACTATTCCTGTTTAACTCCTTCGGGGACATTCAGATTTTTTTTTAACATTCTCCAGTATTGAGACAGAAGGTACTATAATGAACTCCTAGCATATATGAATATATATACACATTTACTTAAGGTTTCACAAACATGGAAAGACTATACTTTATATGTAAGTGTATTTTCAAGACACTGTTTTTCATACTCTTTTATCATAAAGTATCCTTGCTTTATGAACAAAAAATACTAGCTCTTTTATTAGAAATTTCCTCTTAGGTGGAGTGTTTTGTATGTTTGGGCATTGAAATTGCTTTTTACTTTTTCTCATGTGGAACACTGTTCCTAAGGTGGTTCTGTATAGGTTTAGGTTTCATAGTAAAAATTTGTCGAGCTGCTTTCCAGGCCTGATATCCAGTGCCATCCCCTCCTGGCTAAGGCTCTGAAGGAGTTAAAGCCCTGTCTGGAACACAGAAGACAGATGAGAGCCATTTTCAGCTTGTCCTGTCCCCACTGACGCTCACTGAGTAGCACAGCATGGACTAGCGTGTTTCACACACACTCTGCCTGTCTGGGGAATGTACACATTGTCCTTCCAAAATCAAACTTATTAGCACATGTAGAAAGGGGTGACTGACTTTGGGGCAGCCTGGCACTCCATGTTGTGTTCTTGCTGCGGTTCAAAGATTTAGAAGGTTTTGAACAGGATGTGAACATTTTAAATTGAATTTTAGTTTGTAACCCTGCTTACCATAGTACTTGCTTGCACTTTAAATGTCAAGTTAGAACCTTGTCTTAAAATAAATTTAAACTCAATAATGTCTTTTTTAAAGTTGTTCATCCTGAGTCATGTTTTTCTACATAAAAAACTCATTTGGATGACTTGAATTGCTCCTGTGACTCGTAGGATTTTTAAACACAATGTTTTTGAAACATTATCAAATGAAAATTAAGTTCTCATTCATGTAAAGCTATTTGGGGATCAGTTATAATACTCAAATTAAGACTTTTCTTTAAAAATAACCTGTCCCTATGGACTGTATTATGCAAGATAAAATGGTATGCATTTTATTCCCTTAAAAATTGTTACATTATAATGCAGTTTTAACAGTTTTAATAATTTTTATGTTTGTTATATTTTGACCATTACATAGTTGAGCTATACCTTGTAATACTGTTTTCCCATAGATACACTAGTTATTTTAATGGTATTATATTCAAAGAGTTTAAGTTATTATATGTTCTTTATCAATACTGTTTTGTATTGTGTGTATATAAAGAAAGATTCTCTATTTTAGGGAATTTTAAGTGTCGCAAAAAATAAAGATAGGTTAAGATTTTTGTACTTAACTCAGGAATATTTATAAAAATCAACATGCTCAGATATATTTAAAGCATTTATAATTATTTTCTACCCTGAAACTTATCATGTGACTTTATCAGTTTCATTGGAACATTTTGCAGATGGCTGCATTACAGAGTCCTTTCTATGGTGACAAAATGAATTTATACTCACTGTGTAAGAAAATAGAACAGTGCGACTACCCACCTCTTCCTTCAGATCACTATTCAGAGGAAGTAAGTAATTTTCAGCCCATGTGTCTCTTGTTCATTTGCTAACATTTCTTTTATTAAGAAATTTTACTTTATCCAGAAATACAAATGAATAGCATAGGTGGCAGAATAGCAATTTTTTAATCCTGTTTTTGTTCTATTGGAGACTTGCTGTTTAAAGAGTTGACTCTGCAGTTTGTAATGTGGAGTGGAATACAACACAGTGTAAAATTGGTGTAAAATTGGCCACTTCCTAGGTGTGATCAGAATAGTAGCTGACTTTCTAGTAGATGAATACAGAGAAGAGTATTAATGCAAAAAGCCAGGCTCTAGTTAATCAACATGTCTAGTGGCCCCTCTTAATAGGCTAACTACTTATTCTCACTGTCTCCAATGTATAAACAATTAAAACCTTCTGTTTTGGTATAGTTTCCCCCTATTTGTCTTTTCCAAAAGTTGAAATATGTATCTCTTAGCAGTATATCTCTGAACCGTATTCTTCAAGCTTTACCCTTTCTTTGACCTTACCTGTCCTATACTGCTAACACTCAAATTCCTTTGGGGAAATGTTTTGAGGTTATCATTGTAGACATGTTAAAAAGTATATTGGATAAGACTGAAAATTTTTGAAGACATTACCTTAAGATCTGAATCTGAATCCTTTCCTACCTTCATAACTCATTGAAATGAATCGTTTTGGCTCTATCCAACATCCAGTTTTTTATTGAACAAAGTGTATTTTAGCTTATTATGATTTTTCCAATATTTAAGGAGGAAGCATGCAGACTAGCACTGTCTGAGGTCAAGGAAGATGTGTTCACATAACCTCTTTTTGGACTGCTTATTGGAGACCTACCCAGAGAGAGCACTGTCTTATATTAGGATGTCTCATCTCATGAGCAATTGATTTTTTGCCCCAGGAAAATGGAAAGGAGCAAAAGAAAAGTATAAAACAATTATAATGTTCACTTATTAGATAATCTTGTCAGTCTATTGTGGAATGAACATCCGGTCTTAGTATTATGTAAGGAAATTTGAATCCATGTAACTTGAATAATAAATATCTCTAAAGAATTTTTTACCCTATGTAAAGCATTTGTGTTCCTAGATTGAAATAGCTACATTTTCTTCTAATAGTTTTGATACTGATAATCACTGATGCCTATTTTTTTTGCTTCACAGCATTAATATCCAGGTAATTAGAATAAGCTCTTAAAAGGTTGTGATAATTTAGAAGTATTATCTTTATTTGATGTTAATGCTCTTATGTTAGCCATTTTTAATTACTATTTTGAGTATAGAATATAAATACGGCATTTCACAAAACCAACTTCAGAACTATAGGCCTAGAAATACAGTAGGGTGTGAACATTAATGCAAAATGATAGCAAGAATGTCAGGGGCCTTTCTTTGTTGTGTCATTCATGCTGTCTTCTTTTTTCCATGAAGCACATGAATATTTCACATATCTGCATCCTCATCCCCTATTCTTCTTGACTAATTTTCAGACTGTCTGAATTTGCATTTCACATGGTAGCTGATTAGGAGATGCCGAGTGCAGCAGTGAAGCCTCAGCAGGCGGTTACCATGGTGACCTTCAGCAGGATTTTAATGATGATACCACTAGTGGTTCGTTGAAGTCGGCCTGCCTGCAGGGCTACTTCACTGCAGCTAAGTGTGAAGTTGGATATGCGGATTCTCAGCCAAGGGGCAAATATCAAAGTCTGGCCCAGATAGAAGGTCTTCGAGTTGGGAGAATAAAATAGATTCCACTTTTTACTTCACTGTGTATAGTTACCAGTTTTGAGAAGAGCTGTAAAGCAAAACACGCTATGTGGTGTACTTGCCAAAAAGACAAGGCAATTCCTCATATTGGTAAAAATCTGTCATGTCCTAATGAAATAGAAAGCCATAATATCTAGGTAAATGTGCAAAATAATTCTTAGAAATGAATTAGAAAAATATACAGACTAACAGTCTTACTGTAATATTCTGAGTTATGTAGAAGAGTTCTCAGAACAAGAGCTTTGAAATGCAGATGTGCTAATAAATATTTTCTCTCCTTAGGAACTCTTGTTTACAAAATTATTATTCAGAGTTCACGGTTGTAACAAAGCCTAAATAGTTTTGGTGCTGCCATAATAACCTTAAATATTTCTTTATAAAGTAACCTCTGCAGGTGTTTTTAAAATCCAAATTACCCTCTAATTTGTTAGTGTAGCAAAATATAGGCACAAATGAAAAGTGAAACAAAGTTTTTTAACAGTGAACGTTTACTTTAAAACTCTATTTATTGTGTCAATTTTATAGCTAAAATGGTAAGACTCAGAAAAATAAAATTTACACAAATTAATTTATCAAATGTGCATTTACGAACTTACCCAATTTGCATAGCTGTGGCCACATTTTTAAGGCTACTTCCAAAAAATGATTTGAAGGGAACATTTCATGAGACTACCATCTATACCTTCCCAAGCCTCAATTGGTAGGAACTCTGCAAAATTTATTTCTAGATATGATCATTCCATATAGAAGAACTCAGGGTTTGAAAGCTTCCAATTTTTATATTTCCTGGGTTATAGTCTAAAATATATAGCTAAAACAGCTAAACATTAGGAACCAAAAATGAAAAGTAGTATGCTTAAGCAAATCTTATCTGTCAAATATTTTCTTTTGAATTATGCTATTATATACACATAATTAGGGTTCCAGATTGAAATTTCAGCTACACTTGATACTAGAAATTATATATTTTGCTTTATGACAATTTTATTTATTTTGATGTTCCTTATTGTTTTTGTCAATAATGATCTCATCCATGTAGTGGGGAAAGTACTCAACAAAAATCTTAGGTTAAAAACGATGCCTTCTCTTAGATAACTCCTAGTTTAAATTAAATGTGGTGTTGGTGGTAGTAAAACAAATACTTACTGAACATTTTCTGCACCTGAGGAGCTATGATTCAAATAGCTGCTCATAGCCTGACCTGAGCTTATCCCTCAACACTTAGTGGTCATGGGACACACTGTTCTTTCCCAAGTTCTACAAGAAGTTCTGTGCATTTTCATGTTTTCAGAGATGCTCTTTCCTCTTTCTGAAATACTTCTTCCTCTGTTCTCTACCGGGAAAATTAATTCTGATTGAAACATAGTTTTGCTGGCATCTCTGGTACAGTTTTTCCTGGTCTCTTCTTTCCCTCCACCTACTTGGCCAACACATTGCATGGTAGTTGCTTCTTTTCATGTGTGTTTCCCCCACCACTCTTAAGCTTCTGTCTGTATCTCTGTGGTCTGACAGATTTTTAAAGGTTTGGTGATTGAGGGAGAGTAAAGAAATAAATTTAAAAACAGGATTATGACCCAACCAATGACAGTGAATGTGAGAAACTTCTCCAGAGAACTATCTTGTAAATCAGAGAATTGTTCAGTAGATAGACCAGGAAATATGATGATTTTCTTCTCATTGATATGAATCCCTATTTTTTTTTCATTCTTTTACATAAGCAGCAGCATCTCTATAATGTCCAGTGGCCATTTACTGGGAAACACAAGAGATTATTTTCCTTTAGTTTCAGTTTTCAATTTCTTTGAGAGACACTGGAATGGTCATCAAAATTATATATTTTTTCAGTATATCATCTCAAGACTCTTAGTATGAGAAATAGTAAATATGTGATTAGAAAATGATAAAGTGAGTTAATTTTAACTGATATTTTCCTACAAACCTCAGCATTAATATCATACAGAAAATAGACTCAAGTATTTATTATCAAAAAGCTCAGTGTAAATAGAAAAGACATGTGAAGAATTGTGCCTCAGTGTTGAGTAGAGTGCCTCAGTGTTGCTTTTAGAAGACTTCACTTTAGATGTAAACAGATAGGTTTGGACATGATATAAGTAGTTGGGTATTTTCTAATTATATTTTTGAAAACTTGCTAGTTTTTGTAAGTGAAGAAACCAAAATAAGATTTGGAAATCAGAATAATTACTACAGTGATCAGTTTTCATATTATTTACATTAAATATCTATTCATTTTGTGGTTTTAGATCTCCAGCCCACAGATAAAAAATATTTCTCTACTAAATTTAATTAATGGGACCATGTCTCAGATATAAAAGTTATATTTAAATTATCAACCTAAAAGATCACATCCAGTCAAGAGAACTAATAAAAAATTAATGAAATAAACTTACACTTACACTTTGCTTTAATCTCCTTTGTTATTTTTGCCTTCCTTTCCTAGTTGAACAAGGTCTCCTCTTCTTTCCCCTTAGAGAAAGGGAAGGCAGGAGAACAGGGTTTTTCTTTCTCTCCTGGCTTCTCCTGGAATAGTTTAGCAGTGCAGGCTGACAGCATTTTCCCTGCTGCTCCACTCAAATGTGTGCAGCATCTTTTTTATTATTCTTGAGATAAGACATCTTGATTTTCCAGATTTAAAATACAATGATTTAATACAATTATTTAATTTTCTTCCTATGATTGGTTTTATATTAATAACGATAATAAATTTTTAATTTCAACTAAACTGATTTCAGTTTATTGGAGACTATAATGGCTTTAGTAAAATACAGAATTGTTTGATGTTTTGAGATCACCATTTTCTTTAATCTGTATAACAGCTTTTTTGATAAGGACTATTCTCATTTTACATATGAGTAGTGGGGATCCAGACAGTGTTGAGAGCCAGTGCTGGACTTCAGGGGGCTTCCACCTCGTGGCCTACCCCTATATCACTTCAGGACCACACAGCCAGAGTAATTACACGGGTGCTGATGACTGACCATGTCAGGGTTTCTATAGATTTGCAGGTTAATGGTTTTTCTCCTCTTCCTCCTGACCCTTTCACTTGCCATGTTTATCTGGAATCTCTCCCTAGAAGGCACCATCAGGCATTTACTCAGAGTACTCTTCTGCTAGTAGTAACTCAGGGGCTATTACTGAAATGAAAGAGTGAGGAAACTGTGTGAATAGTAGGAATTATTTTCACATATCAGAGTAGGTAAATCTGCATACATGAAGATATC